GCGCGGTAACCTGCACGTACCTGCTGCTGACTGGCCCACAGGCGGGCCAGGTGTGCGGGCGCGTGGGGCACACCGCCGCTCGCTGCTTCCGCCGCCTGGACGACCTCTACCGTCGTCACTTCGGCCCGCAGATGCAGGTTCTCCCCTGGCCGGTCTTGCTTCGTCGTGGAGTTCCTATATTTGATATGGATATGATTCAGATTGACCATGCCTTATATTCTCTGTATTTTGATGCTTCTAGTGTTGCTAGCTTTTTTATCCTGCTATTTTGTAGCCTTGGAGCTATTGCTGTGTAGTCTAGGATTCCCTGTTGCGTCAGGCATAGAACCTGTTAGAGACTCCTCACCGGGCCCCGCCTCGTCGGCCCTCTCCTTTGTCTTGGACTCTGGAGCGTCTCAATGCTTCTTTCGAGACAATACTGCTCTCACCCCGCTTCCTACGCCTGTCCGCGTCGCACTAGCAGACTCCTCCGCCACAGCTGTCACACGTAGCACCACCACTCTCCCCTGTCCGGCTGTCCCTTCTGGCTCCCTCACAGGTCTGCACATCCCCTCGTTTGCTAGGAACTTAGTGGGTGTCGGTCACCTCCAGGACCGAGACGTCACCACTACGTTCCGTGGCCGCGAGAGACACACTGCTTGCACAGACACAGTCACCGGTCGACACTTAGCTACCTTTGAGCATGACCCTGGATCAGGTCTCTTTACCCTGCAAACTGAGTCCCCGCTCACTTCAGCGTCTGCCGAGGTCGTCACGTCTTGCTCCTGTACAGTCTAGTCAATGGTCTCCCTGCGTCGCTCCCCGCCTTGCCTCCGTCAGTAGCGCCACTATGCACCTCCTGCGTCGAGGGCTGGCAGCGCGCCGCCCCTCACTCCTCCTCATTTCTTCCTACCACAGCACCGCTACAGACACTGCACATGGACGTCTGGGGCCCTGCCCCGGTCCATGGTCTCAGTCGGGAGCGCTACTTCCTAGTCGTCGTTGACGACTTCTCGCGGTTCACCACAGTTTTCCCGTTGGAGCGAAAGGCCGACGTGCCGACCGTTCTCCTCCCGTGGCTTCTCACTGTTCGCACCGCCCACTGCCTATCTGTAGGTCGCTTACACTCTGACCGCGGTGGCGAGTTCGCCTCTGGCTCTCTAGGACGGTTCTGTCATGCGGAGGGCATCCGCCAGACGTACACACTGCAGGACTCCCCACAGCAGAATGGGGTCGCTGAGCGAGGCATCGGCCTGATCATGGAGGTGGCTTGCACCTCCATGGTCCACGTCGGTGAACCCCATTTTCTGTGGCCGTTCGCCGTGCGCTACGCTACTCACCAGCTTAACATGTGGCCGCGCTCCCAACGACCACAGGTTTCACCGACCCTCCTCTGGACCGGGTCTCCTGGTGATGCGTCTGCGTTCCATGTCTGGGGCAGCCTTGCTCACGTCCGCGATACTGTCGCGGACAAGCTCTCAGCCCGCGAGTTCTGGGGGTGCTGACTCCAGAGGTGCTAGTTCTGTAGGTGGTGAGACCGAGGGTGCTAGTCTTGGGGGTGCTGTTTTACGATGTGTGGGTGGCAGCTGGGGTGCCACTGGAGGTCCTGGAGTGGACAGGCAGCAGCAGCAGCAGCAGCAACAACAGGTGCAGCCGCCGCAGTCTGCCCTTCATCTCCTTGGTCTTGCTCCAGGTTTCCCTGTCAGCCCGCCCGTTCCCCCTCTGGTGCGTGACCCTGTTTTTGGCCCGTTGTTTCCTCCTCCGGACTCCTCTCCGACTCGTTTCCCCCCACGCTCCCCTCCGTTCCCTGACCTGTCCCCCATCCCCCCTCGTCCCCAGTCCCCAGTTCTTCCCCACTGGGTTCGTCGCCCCTCTGGTGCTCGTCCTGTCTCTCCCCGTCCTAGTGTCCACCCTATGCTCCTTCATTCGCGTGCTCCTCCCGTTGCCTCCCCTGTCGTCGCTACCGTCGTCCCCCCCTCCTCTCTCCGACACTGTTCGCACTGCTTGTCCAGTCCTGTCGCTCCTGCTTGCGTCGCTTGTCACTAACCCTAGTGCTCCTCCTGAGTCTGTCTCCGCGCTGGTCGCTGCTGTCGCTGACTGCTAGCCACCGCCTTGACTATGCTGCCGCTCTGGTCTCTGGTACTGTCCGTCCTCCGTCCGTCGGGGGTGCACCTGCCCTTGGCAGTGACGTACTAGAGGACAGGCAGGACGAGTTGGCCTACCTTGCTGCCGCTGTTCCCCATCTCTGCTCCATGCTTGTATCCCCAGAGGACGACCCAGACGCTCTCGACATCCCTGTTCCACGCTCTTACGCTGAGGCGGTGTCGGGGCCCTGGACAGCCCAGTGGATACAGGCCATGGAGACTGAGATGGCATCCTACAGATCCACTAGCACCTATGTCGTCACAGTTCCCCCGCCTGGGGCGAACGTAGTCGATGGCATGTGGATCTACAGGGTAAAGCGCACACCTGGAGAGCCGCCGAAGTTAAAGGCGCGTAACGTGGCTAGAGGCTTCACTCAACGTGAGGGAGTGGACTTCTTCCAGACCTTCTCCCCGACCCTGAAGATGACTACTCTTCGGGTCCTTCTTCACATAGCCGCACAGCGTGACTACGAGCTTCACTCACTCGACTTCTCCACAACGTTCCTGCAGGGTAGTCTGCACGAGCAGATCTACTGTACCTCCAGTGCCTTCTAGGCTTCTCTGGGTCCTTCCGACCTGGGACCCAGTGGAGCCTGCGCCGTCCTGTCTACGGCCTTTGTCAGGCACCCCGTCAGTGGCACGACACGCTTCGCACCACTCTTGCTGAGCTGCAGTTCTTTCCGTCCTCTGGTGACCCCTCTCTCTTTGTTCGCACGGGTCAGACACCGTTCTACATTCTAGTGTACGTAGACGATCTTATCTTTGCTACTCCCGACAGAGTTGCACTGGCCTCAGTGAAGGCCGAGTTACTTAGGAGATACACATGTACAGACTTGGGGGAGCTGAGGCGCTATCTGGGTTGGAGATCTCTCGTGACCGTGCCGCTCGCACGATCACACTCTCCCAGTCCCATATGGTGCTGCAGATCCTCCAGAGGTTTAGTCTCCAGTTCTCCTCAGCACAGCCCACCCCCCTGCTTGTGGATCACAAGCTCTCTGCTCCTGTTCCGGCTAAGCCGGTCGAGGCTAGTGGTCCATACGCAGAGCTGGTGGAGTGCCTCATGTACCTAATGACCTGCACTCGACCAGATCTAGCGTACTCTCTCAGTCTCCTGGCTCGCTTTGTCGCGACAGGCAGGCACCGACCAGTCCACTGTTCGGCTGCCAAGAGGGTAATGCGGTATCTGGCGAGCGCATCAGGACTGGGGCTTGTGCTAGGAGGACGGGAGCAAGTGGTGCTCACTGGACACACAGACGCGTCGTGGGCAGATGACTTGGAAACGCACAGGTCGACTCAGGGCTACTGCTTTAGCCTTGGTGCTGGTGCAGTCTCGTGGAGGTCAACCAGGTCGTCGTCTGTAGCTCAGTCCAGCTGTGAGGCAGTGATCTACGCTGGGGCCATGACTGTTCAGGAGCTCCGCTGGCTGACGTTCTTGCTCACTGACTTAGGTGACCAGCCTAGGTCTGCCCTGGTCCTGTTTGCTGACAACAGGGCCATGATCCTCTTGTGTCAGGAGGCACGACTTGAGGGCAGAGCGAAGCACATCTTGCTGCGGTACTTCCTGATGCGAGAGTTGCAGCAGCGCGGTCAGGTTCGTGTAGTACAGTTGGCCTTAGAGGCCAACACCGCTGATATCTTCACCAAAGCACTTGCGTCTCGTGACCATTAGCGACTGTACTCAGCTTGGTCTAGCCTCATTAGCAGCACCTCTCCTTGTATCCTGAGTCATACTATACCTGCTTGTACTTGTTGTGTTATACCTGCTTGTCTTGCTACACTTGCTGACGGACCTTGTGGCCTCTTGTCTCAGTGGTCAGACTAGTAGTACTGCCCTGAGTTTTCTTATTGCACTCATCAGAGGTTGGACTAGTAGTGCTGCCCTGGTGTACTTTTCTTGTTAGGAACTGCCACTATCTTGGCTAGGGGGTGTGTCAACAAATATAATTGTCTATGCTAGGTACAGTATATTTGTTATAGCCTTAGTTAGGTCAATTCTTAGAGGATACATTCCCACCTTTGTAACCCTCAGCCTTCCTCCTTTAGTCACTTTTCTCTCTACATTCTAACAATTTAACCTTCGACTACCCACAAGTTCATGTGCTCAGGTTCACTCTTATAAGACTTCCGCTGTCTTACTAGGCTACCATTCCAGAATTACGATCCTTACAAGTACTATCGAGTAGTAGAGATACTACTATACCCAAGGCTTGACTCAAACAGATTCTATACTTAGTCTCCCTGCAAGTCGAGCACCACTCGTCAAATTCTTTCAACAAGTACCTCTTCGGAATGTATCTATTCGTAGTGTATCGCGACTGAAAGGGTCACTTGACTAGTGACTCTTCGTGTGGCTGAGAGTGGCGTGACCCTTCGGACGGCTATACGTGCAAACCCACTATTCACGCATTGGCTCGATACTGCTGACGTCTTCACGCTCGTCCTTCCATATGAGGTATCACGCTACTAATGCAGTTCAAATATTCTCAGGAATGCTCATGTGGTAACTCTGTCGAGTATACTTCAACTCTATTGGCATCTCTTTAGGATTGCATCACACCACAATCATAAGAAGAGTACAATTGCTGCTGCACGAAACCACTAGCTATGAGTGCATCCGCTCCTCGATGTTAGGCTCTAAGTATCAGGTATGATTTGCGTGAGTATTTACAGCATGTTTTTCTGATGTGGTTGGCAGTTTCAGAGTATAGCATATAGACATATATATATAAATATATATGTATTTATGTAAGCAAAAACTTCACAAGCTGTAGGATCCAAGCAGTAGCACTTTATGTGTAGACCTGCCTTTCAATCGCGTACGAAATCACCTTGCTGCTTGCGGCCCACCCCTTCAGCCTTTCCGTGGTCTCCTCTCTAGTCAACAAGGCTCTCACAAGTTCTGAAGGGGTATGCGTGAGTAGCCTGGACCTCTCATCTGCGAAAGCCGCCTGGTTCGCCTGCTGGAGCATCCGCTGCCGCTTAACGATCCGTCAAAGGCCTCGCTACAAGCACCGCGGCTAGGTTTTGCCGCTGTGAGATCGTGGCATGGCGGGAAAGGCTGCGGCTCCCCAGGGCCTGCCAGATGGCATCGACAAAGACGAGGTGCCTCCCTCTCTCTGTCGCCACCCTCCCTGTCGCGACCCTCCTTTTCGCGAACCTCCCTTTCGCGAGCCTCGCTAGCCTCCCTTTTGCGAACCTCCTTCTCGCAAACCTCCCTTTCCCGAACCTCCCTTTCGCAAACCTCCCGTACGCGAAGCTCTCTTTGTCAGTCTTTCCTTGCGTACTTTCCGTATCGCATCGGGGTTCCACGCCATGCCTCTAGGCACATGAGTGTTCAAAGGGCGTCCTCTCTAGAAACAATTCCGATTAGGTGTCTCAGCAGTTCTCGTGACCATGCGGCACGCGATTCGTTGCTTCAAAGGTAAAAAATTGGCTTAGACGCTGTTGTGTAGGCAGCGATTCGCCCGCGGAATGCTTCAACCCGATGCCGCGGGATCTGAGTCTCATGCCGTGCCATCCACATTCTCGATCCTCGTTTAAATATGGATTCGTTATCGTTTTCATGATCCGCGTGCAGATCTACGAGATGGCAGCCCAACAAATGGAGTACCGAGTGGGCCTCTTCAACTCGTGAGCATCCACTTGCCACCTTCCCATTCAAAACCCCGCCCTTCATGTCCGCGCCCTTCATGTCCCCGCCCTTCATGTCCGCGCCCTTCATGTCGCACATCCTCCACCCCACCACCCCCCCTCCCCCCCCTCCAGCCATCCCCTCCTCCTCCCGTTTTCCTCCCTCACAGTCCTCTCGTTCTCTCCCTCCGTCCCGCCGTTCCTCCCTCCTCTCCCTGCTCCCTTTCTTCCTTCCTACCTCCGTTCATCCTACCTTTCTCCCTCACTCCGCTGGGGTCTCCTCTACTCCTTTCTCCATACACGTGCTTGCGCTGGCGTGGCCGCCTGAATTGCGGTTGCTCCACATGTTCGTCCTCTGCCACTCCCTCTCCTTGCGCTTACCTATGTCTCCCTCGTTTTGCACTTATCAATCTCTCCCCCGTTTTGCACTTATCAATCTCTCCCTTCTCATCCGGTATGCCTTCATGGCCTTCCTTCTCACCGGCTCTTCCTTCACACCGGCTTCTTCCTTCTCTCTTCTCCCAACTCCGCTCCTCCCTCGACAACGCGCCAGCATGGTGGCAACGTGCTTTGACAAGTGCTACGAGAAGAAGTGAGTTGTTAATTCACCTTTTGTCATCCCGGTGCTTGTAGTGAACTAGTTCTGAAAGTAGCTCTTTTGCGTGGATCCGTAAATCCCATTTGAAGGCGGTTTCATGGGTGTTGTACGAATGTATGCTTCATGCTGTTTGATTGAGTTCTGCTGCATCGACTCCGCCCTTTCGTGTCAGGTACAAGGAGTCAGAATTGAACCTTGGAGAGACTAGCTGTGTTGACCGATGCGTTTCCAAATACTGGCAGGTGAGTTGCGTGCACCAAGGGCCTGCTGATCTCTGTAGAATTAAGTGTGTCTGTTGCTTCCTCTTCGTAGAAATGAAGGGTGCCCGTTTCTTGCAAGCTGTTCGCTGCACGCGGTCAGGTTTTATACTCGAGAGTCGAGTCGAGACACATACGGCGTGGTAGCCTTCCCTGTTCCCATCACGGGTTCTTTGATAACAATGATGGGATGGAAGTTGGTATAGGCTGCAAGTGGTGCCTGCCTGCATGTTGCTGATGATACTTTTATCCCATCCTACACGCCATGTTTCCAACAGGTTCGGGGGATTATCGGTCAATACCTTGGCGTTTCTGGTAGCGGGATGTAGTGCCTTTAGGGGTGTGTGTGCTAAATGTATTGCTTTCTAGTATGAAGTGGTAGCTTCTCTATTTCGTGTAAAGAAACTCTTACCTACGCGTACAGATGGAAAGGCTGTCATGACGTGTATCGAGTCGTCTCTAATCGCGCTGCCTGCCCTGTCCGGAACGTTTACTTCTCCCTCCGTCCTGTACTCGCCTGCCCACGCGGCGCTGCCGCAAATCTCAAGGCTTGTCTGTCTGTGCCCCAGTCGCACTGCCGTTTTTCCCCCATCACTCCCGCTGCCTCCGTCCGTTCCCTTCCATCACCCACCCCTCCCACCACGCTCCCTCCCACCCAACTTGGGTGTGTTTCATCCACCCAAGCTCCGCTCCGTCCATCACAGCGCAGCGTCGTGACTGCCGCCTGCTTTCCGGCCGTAACCGCAATCCAGCTTGGTTCGGCTGTTCCCCCTGAACCGCTGTTTATCGACTTTAAAGCCGGCAAAGGCATCAAAGAGAGGCTGTCGGGATTTTTTACGGGAGCTAACGGGCAGAGATGTCTTCTGTCCAGTGCAGTAACGCTGCGAACAACTACTAGTTGTTTAGCGACACGTGGCATCATACACAGCACGTGCCCCCCTTCGTTTTGTCGTCGTCGTCCGGCGAGGGCCGACTCCTCTTCATTCTGACAGGGATATCCACCCCCGCCCGTACACGGCGCCTGCCAGTCAAGCTGAAGCCCCATTAGTCGCGCAACGAGCACCGAGCACGAAAGTTCTCATATGGCACAGCCGATTAGCAACCAGGAGCAGCAGCAGCAGCAGCAGCAGCAACAGGCATCGCAAGACGAGGGCGGTGCGCCGCAGCTGATCTCCGCGCTCCCCGTGTCCCCTCCGCCGCTGGTGACCGGCCCCAGTAGCGCGCTCGTGCGCCTGCTCTTCGCGGACCTGTCGGGGCAGCGCCGCGTGCGGGTGAGTCTCTTGGGCAATTCGGACGGGTCGTTTCTCTCGATTGCGCACGGCGCTCCCTCTAATCCCTCAAGCGCGCTCGTGCACCTGCTCTTCGCTGACCTGTCGGTTTAGCGCGGCGTACGGATGAGTGGTTGAGAGCGGTTGCGCGATGTTCGCGTGGTTGCGGTCAGCGAATCCAAAGGTGCGCGGGACAGCTCTCGGTTCCCCCCCTCCAGTAGCGCGCTCGTGCGCCTGCTCTCCGCGGGCCTCCTTGGCCAGCGCCGCGTGAGGTGAGTGGAAATGCAGCGCTCAGAGCGGCGACGCACCCCTCGGAGCGGGTGCGCATCTCCCACAGTTGCGTGCAGCAGTCCGTGCTATGCCCCCCTCAGCTTCTGGAAACGAGGGGTTCTTTCCCCCACCGCGTCCGGCCCTCCCTCGTCTCTTTCCGTTGCCTGAATGGCTTCAATATACACGTTTCTCAAGCCATGCATGGCCATATGGCTTCACGTTTCTCAAGCCATGCATGGCCATATGGCTTCACGTTTCTCGAGCCATGCATGGCCATATGGCTTCACGTTTCTCAAGCCATGCATGGCCATATGGCTTCACGTTTCCGCCGCTCGTTCCCCTCATGGCCTCTCTGCTCACCCGTCTCCGTCTCAGTCCACCTTCCTGTCTCCGCCCTCGCTCCTCCCCCTCTCAACAACCCCTGCGGTCTCTCCGCCAATCAGGTCGTTCCCTGGGACCGCTTCCACACACTGACGTGTCAGCAGGGGATAGGCTTGGCGCGCTGCATCTACGCCTTCGCATCGTTTGTGGATGGGCCCGCCCCCGGGTGTGGCCTGACCGCCGCGGGGGAGGTGCGGCTCATGCCTGACGTCAGCACGCTGCGCACGTTGCCCTGGTGGGTAGCTATCGAGTCTCAAAGCACCCCGTGCACCCCGTGCACCCTTTCATGGATGGGCCCGCCCCTGGATGTGGCTTGACTGCCGTGGGGGAGGTGCGGCGCATGCCTGACGTCAGCGCCCTCAGGGCCGTCCCATGGTGGGCTCGCCTGGCTCTCGCCCATGGCGGGCTCCTTGTTTCCTCTGCCCTGGCCTGGCGGGTCAGTGCGTTCGATCATACCTGCACGTTGGGAGTGCCACGCCCGTGCCATGCGCATGGGCTTGGCGCTGGGATGCGCGGGTCAGAGCATGCTGTTGCTGCTCTGTTGTGCGGTGCTATTCATTCATGCCCATGGTGGTCTCTTCGTGGCATCCCTCCTCTGCCTCGGTGCTAACTAAGCTCCCCACCCCCCCCCCCCCTGTGCCAGGTGTCCCAATCAGATGCTCGCATTGGTGGACGCACACGTGGCGCCAGGTCAGCCATTTGCCGTGTGTCCTCGCAGCACGCTGAGGAGAGTGGCAGCATCTCTCAAGGACAGGTTCGGACTGGTGAGTGCAGTAGGCAGGAGTGGTGAGTGCAGCAGGCAGGAGTGGTGAGTGCAGCAGGCAGGAGTGGTGAGTGCAGCAGGCAGGAGTGGTGAGTGCAGCAGGCAGGAGTGGTGAGTGCAGCAGGCAGGAGTGGTGAGTGCAGCAGGCAGGAGTGGTGAGTGCAGCAGGCAGGAGTGGTGAGTGCAGCAGGCAGGAGTGGTGAGTGCAGCAGGCAGGAGTGGTGAGTGCAGCAGGCAGGAGTGGTGAGTGCAGCAGGCAGGAGTGGTGAGTGCAGCAGGCAGGAGTGGTGAGTGCAGCAGGCAGGAGTGGTGAGTGCAGCAGGCAGGAGTGGTGAGTGGAGCAGGCAGGAGTGGTGAGTGGAGCAGGCAGGAGTGGTGAGTGCAGCAGGCAGGAGTGGTGAGTGCAGCAGGCAGGAGTGGTGAGTGCAGCAGGCAGGAGTGATGAGTGGAGCAGGCAGGAGTGGTGAGTGCAGCAGGCAGGAGTGGTGAGTGCAGCGGGCAGGATTGGTGAGTGCAGCAGGCAGGAGTGGTGAGTGCAGCAGGAGCGTTGAGAGCGAGTTGTGAGTCCACGGATAGCCACATTAGCCATCTGTCCTCGCAGCGCAGTGAGGAGAGTCGCTGCTTCTCTGAAAAGCAGGTTCGGACTGGTGCGTGCAGCAGGTTCGGACTGGTGCGTGCAGCAGGTTCGGACTGGTGCGTGCAGCAGGAGCGGACTGGTGCGTGCAGCAGGTTCGGACTGGTGCGCGCAGCAGGTTCGGACTGGTGCGTGCAGCAGGTTCGGACTGGTGCGTGCAGCAGGAGCGGTGAGTGCCACTCGTGAGTCAGTGGATAGAGTCACATTTGCCGTCTGTCCGTCCTTGCTGCTTCTCTTAAGGGCAGGTTCGGACTGCTGAGTGCAACCTGTGAGTCAAGTGATAAGCTACATTCGCCGCTTGTCCTCGTAGCGCGTTGAGGAGCGCTGCTGCTTTCCTTGACAACAGATTCGGTTCGGCCTGGTGGGTGGAGTAGGAGTGGCAACTGAAGTGGAATCGCTGAGTGGAGTATCCGTGGTGACTAAGTAGGAATGGTGAGTGGAATTTGAGGGATTTGAGAGCGGTACTTGCAACGCGCGACGTCATGCTCCTTCCTTACCGAATCTCATCTATCCGTCACTACTGCGCGTGCTTGTGCGTGTCTCTCTGTCCTTATTAAAGAAGCCCAAGTGCTGTTTCTGTTCGTGCATGCCTCAACACATGCATGTTCGTGCATGCCTCAACACATGCATGTTCGTGCATGCCTCAACACATCCATGTTCGTGCATGCCTCAACACATGCATGTTCGTGCATGCCTCAACACATGCATGTTCGTGCATGCCTCAACACATGCATGTTCGTGCATGCCTCAACACATGCATGTTCGTGCATGCCTCAACACATGCATGTTCGTGCATGCCTCAACACATGCATGTTCGTGCATGCCTCAACACATCCATGTTCGTGCATGCCTCAACACATCCATGTTCGTGCATGCCTCAACACATGCATGTTCGTGCATGCCTCAACACATGCATGTTCGTGCATGCCTCAACACATGCATGTTCGTGCATGCCTCAACACATGCATGTTCGTGCATGCCTCAACACATCCATGTTCGTGCATGCCTCAACACATCCATGTTCGTGCATGCCTCAACACATGCATGTTCGTGCATGCCTCAACACATCCATGTTCGTGCATGCCTCAACACATGCATGTTCGTGCATGCCTCAACACATCCATGTTCTGATTGTTGGATTGGAGACGGTAGTGACTTCTCATAGTGATAAACAATAAAGCACGCGACCACCCTGCAATATTCTAAACTACCACCGTTCCTCAAACTGCTACTCTGCTACTCTACCAACACAACTGTGCTCGCAGGTGCTGAGAGCGGGGTTTGAAAGCGAGTTCACTCTCCTCCAGTCCACCACCCCATCGTGCGTACCTCCCTCCTCCACCCCATCGTGTGTACCTCCCTCCACCACTCCATCGAATATGCCACCCCTTGCCTCTTCCAGCTATTCTTGGTACTTCACATCCACCTGTCTTTTCGATGCTGTCCTCCTGCTGTCCTCCCCGCATACCCTTGTGAATGCCATCGCCCATTGCCTCCCCGTTGCCCCCATACCCCCTCCCCACTTCCTCCCCCCCAACACACCAGCCTGGTGCCTTCTGAGCGCACGTTGTACTGCCCCTCCTCCTCCATGGCGTTTGGCGAGCAGGCAGAGCTGATGGGAGCCATGGTAGAGGCACGGCATGTGTTGACGCCACTGTTTGAACATGTGCGGCCCCTTTTTCTCCCCCTTCCCCGCCTCCCCCAACAGCCTGGCTCCTGTGGACCGCACCCTCTACTGCTCCTCCATGGGGCTTGGCGAGCAGGCGGAGCTGATGGGAGCCATGCTGGTGGCACTGCATGTGTTGACGCCCCCTCCCCACTCCCTCCCCCCCCCCACCCCACCCCCCCCCAGTGTAGTGCCTTTAGACCGCACGTTATACTGCTGTCCCATGGCATTTGGCGAGCAGGCTGAGCTGATGGGAGCCATGCTGGCGGCACTGCATGCGTTGACACCCTCTCCCCACTCTCCCCCATCCCCACCCCTCCAGCCTTGCGCCCGTAGACCGCACGCTATACTGTGCCTCGGCGGCGTTTGACGAGCAGGCGGAACTGATGGGGGCCATGGTGGCAGCGCTGCATGGCATGGGGATACCCGTGGAGCAGGTGGGCGGGTCGGAGTGTGGGCATGGTTCAAGAATCGTAGCGTAGGATAGAAAGGGAGACAAGGGTGCGTGGCGAATGGGGTGATGGGGGCGGGCTCTGCTCTGCACGGCACGGCATGGGGGTAACGGTGGAGCTGGTGGGTTGGAGGGAGAATGGCGTCAGTGTGATGTCAGGGGTATGGCATGAGGGCTTCTAAAATGAATCAGTGGCAACAAGTTTTTATATAAAGAGAGCATCAGCTGAGCAGTCAAAAGCTTGGAATGAGTAAAGAGAAGCATATATGGAGTGCCTTTGAGTCCACTGAAAAGCATATATTGATGGCAGGCTCAACCAGGGTCACGGGGTGGGCGGTTTGGGATAGCAGCGTGGCACGGCATTGCGCCATGCTACAATCACCTGCCCCCATCACGTGAGGAGTCTATTTTTGAGGCGCCTAAAAAAAAAACTCGGCACTGCGCCGTGCTACAATCACCTGCCCCCATCACTCATCCCTCTTCTCCCGCTTCTCCCCTTCCCTCTCCCCCCCCTCGCTACCCCCGACCCCTCTTCCCCCTTTGCAGCTTCATCCGGAATCTGGTGGCGGGCAGTTTGAGATAGCTGTGGGGCATGCAGCTGACGTGGCAGCCGCTGATAGGATCCTGCTGGTGCGGGAGGCGATCTCGGGGGTGGTCAGGCAAGCAGCAGCATCAGGTGGAGGCAGTGCCGGGATGGAGGGAGCCAGCAGCAAGCGGAGCACTGTGCCCACTCATGTCACTTTCCTTCCCCAGTTAGTTCCCCCGCACCTTTTATGTAATCATTACCAATCTTTATGAATTCCTCTTAGAACCCCTCCCTTAGTGGACCCAATTACCCTCCCTTAGTGGACCCAATTACCCTCCCGCACTGAGCCCTGCACTCTATTTATCTCCTGCTGACGTGCCTTTTGCCTCGTTCTCTCTCCCCTCCTCCACCCCCTCCTTCAATCAGAGTCGTCCCTCTCGACTCGATTGGTCCGCGTCGTATGAGCTTCCAGCATGCGTCCCTCTCTCCCTGCCCCCTACTCCCAGCATGCATGCGTTGACTGATAAAGCAAGCATTCGAGCTAGCTACCGCCCGGCGTCCCTCTCCCTGCTCCCTACTCTCCACGTCCGCCCAGGGCCTTCCCGCGTGATGCTGCCGACGGCAACCACACGCACGCGCATGTGCACGTGCAATCAGCGCGCTCCTCTTCTCTCCTTGCTGCCTATTCCCCATCAAACCATCCATTTATCATTTTCTGCCCTGCCCTGGCGTTACTCGAGTGTTTTCAAAGGATGCCATTGAACCGTCCTGCCATCTTTCTCCCTCTCGCCCTGTCCCAGGGTCTTCCCTCGTGATGCAGCCAATGGCAGCCACGTGCACGTCAGCATATGGCGGGAGGTCGCTGATGCTGATGCTGATGCTGATGCTGCTGTCACACAGCCATCAGCAGCATCCGCAGAAGCAGAAGGGGGACCCTCCTCCGCTCCACGTGTCGTGCTGTCAGAGGGCGGGCGCAGCTTTGTGAATGCCTTTGCAGCAGGCGGCGGATGTGGCTCTGCCAGTGAGGCTGGTGGTGGTGCTGGTGAGCCCAGCGAGCAGCACGGCATGTCCGTGGAAGGGCAGCAGTTCATGGCAGGGGTCATGCAGCACCTGCCGTCCATCATGGCCGTCTCGTGCCCGCTGCCCAACAGGTATCAGTGTGCATGTGTATTATTGTAGTGGGCATGCGCCCACTAAGCGCACGTGGTACTACCATGTGCCCTTGTTCTGCCATGCACCACCAGTGCCACAGGCAGATCCATTCCCTCATTCTTCACATCCCTCCCTTTCCCATGTCTCATCTCCCCCCGTTCTTTCCATCCACCATGCATCTCTCCTCCAACTTCACGCATGGCCACTCTTTTCCCTTCCATACATTCTGCCCCACGACCCCCCTCTCTTTCAGTCCCCTCTTCCTCTCCCTGCTTCTCCATGTCAAAACCTTGTCATGTATTTTCAGAACCCCTCCCTCCCCACCTCCATTCCGTCCCCTTCACTTGCTTCGTCTTGTTACTCACGCCTGCGCCCCAACAAGTGGGCGAGCGCCTGCCAGTGGTGGTGGGGCCATGAGCACCCAAAGGCTGCTGTCAGGGTTGCTGCTGCTCCTGCCAATGCTTTTGCTACTAATGCTCATGTTGCTCTTCTGCTCTGCACCCCCCCACCCCCTCCCCCCCTTACACTCGCCTTTACAGCTATGAGCGCCTGGGGCCCAACAAGTGGACGGGCGCCTTCCACTGTTGGGGGCATGAGAACCGCGAGGCTGCTGTCAGGCTTGCTGCTCCCCCCACTGCTGCTGCTGCTGCTGCTGCTGCTGGCGGCCCATCTGCTGGCGATGTGCCGCCTGCCTTCCAAGTGACCAACTTCGAGGTGAAGGCGTGTGACGCGTGCGCGCAGCCGCACCTGGTGCTGGCGGCCATCATCGCTGCTGGCATGGACGGGCTGGCGCGCAAACTGCAGCTGCCGGAACCCATTGGTACGTGATGGCACAGCTGCCAGTATGTCATGTACATGTGAGCCCACCCGCAGTTGACATGTGTGCGCAGCACTGCCGCACCTGGTGCTGGCTGCAATCATTGCTGCTGGGATGGACGGGCTTGAAAGAAAACTGCTGCTTCCAGATCGGATTGGTATGTAGTCTTTGGTGTGCCAATCCATGTGAAGGCGTGTGAAGGCGTGTGAAGGCGTGTGATGCATGTGATGCATGTGATTCGCACGCACTGCCACATCTGCTGCATGCCTGCGGTCATAGGGTCATCATGCGGCTTTCCCCTACAAATCCCTCCCGTCCCCCCCTCCCCCCCGCCACCCCTTTTCCCAGACGTGAACCCGGCTGCTGATCCACCTCTCGGCTCTGCCCCCCCTCGTCTGCCCCCGTGCCAGGGCGCGTCAACTGATTTCCCTCACTCCCGTCTCTCAACAAACCCCTCACACCACCCTTGTCCCCCTCCCCACCCTTCCTCCCCCCTCCCCCTCCCCACCCGTCCTCCCCCCTCCCCCTCCCCACCCTTCCTCCCCTCTCCCCCTCCCCACTCGTCCTGTCCAGACGTGAACCCGGCTGATCTTCCTCGCGACTCTAACCCCCCTCGCATACCCTCCCGCCTCGACGAGTCAACTTCATTCCCCTCAAACCCCACTCCTAACAAACCCCTCACACCTCCTTGCCCCCCTCCCTCTTCCTGCCCACTCCCTCTCTCCACTCTTCCTGCCCACTCCCTCTCTCCACGCTTCCTGCCCAATCCCTCTCTCCACTCTTCCTGCCCACTCCCTCTCTCCACTCTTCCTGCCCACTCCCTCTCTCCACGCTTCCTGCCCACTCCCTCTCTCCACGCTTCCTGCCCACTCCCTCTCTCCACTCTTCCTGCCCACTCCCTCTCTCCACTCTTCCTGCCCACTCCCTCTCTCCACTCTTCCTGCCCACTCCCTCTCTCCACTCTTCCTGCCCACTCCCTCTCTCCACTCTTCCTGCCCACTCCCTCTCTCCACTCTTCCTGCCCACTCCCTCTCTCCACTCTTCCTGCCCACTCCCTCTCTCCACTCTTCCTGCCCACTCCCTCTCTCCACTCTTCCTGCCCACTCCCTCTCTCCACTCTTCCTGCCCACTCCCTCTCTCCACTCTTCCTGCCCAGACGTGAACCCGGCGGATCTTCCTCCCGATGCGGCCCCCGCTCGTCTGCCGTCGTGCCTGGACGAGTCTCTGGCGGCCTTTGAGGCGGATTCTGTGATGAGGGACGTGCTGGGGGACGTCATGGTCCAGGCGATTGTGGCCGTGCGCAAGGTGAGACTCCTTCACCAATGCCACACATACTGCAGCTGATGAGCCAAACTTTACACTGTAGCCTGGACGAGTCCCTGGCTGCCTCTGAAGCAGATGCTTTGATGAGAGAGGCACTAAGGGACGTCATGGTGCAGGCGATCGTGGCTGTGCGCAAGGTGAGACCTGGGGAGGACGGACCAGGGGAAGGGTAATTACTGAAGGTGTGTTTTCGAGGCAGATAGTGCAGTGACAGAGGCACTAAGGGATGCCACGGTGCTGGCGATTGTGTCTGTGCGCAAGGTGAGACCTGGGGAGAGCGGACCAGGGGAGGGTGTCCGCTTAAGTGGTGCCCTTGACGCAGACAGAGAGAGCAGACAGGCGCTGGGGATGCGATGGTGAAAGCCATTGTGGCAAAGGTGAGATTCGTGTGTGCTGCCATGCTCTCCGCAGCACCCACTCGCCGCCTGCTTCATCCCTTGAGGAGTCAGTACCTGCCTTGAGGAGTCAGTACCTGCCTTGAGGAGTCAGTACCTGCCTTGAGGAGTCAGTACCTGCCTTTGAATCAGATTCCGTGATGGGGGGGAGGCACTGGGGGGTGAGAGCAATAGTGCTCTGCGCAAGGTGAGGTCTGGGGAGGGTGGAGCTGGAGGGCTCGTTGGCTGCCATTGAGGCGGATGTTGTGATGCGGGAGGCGCTGGGGAGTGCGATGGTGCAGGCGATCATGGATGTGCACCAGGTGAGTTATGGTGGATGCCTAGTGAGCTTACAGGTTCTGCGTCCCCTCGTCTAAGAGCATATTCCTACGGAGTGGTGTTCAGTACCCGCAACGGGAAACGGGTCCTCAACACCGTGATTGACAAATCTTACCGAGTCCAGTACCAGGACCACGAACCCGCATGTTCGCGCACGTGCGGTGTGATTGGCTGACCGACAAAGTCACATTCGCAAACAGAACCCCCCGCGTCCATGCATGCCGCGTGTCACTCCGTTTCGTTGAGACAACAAGCCGTCGTGCCACACATTCGTGAACAGAAACGTGCGCATGCTTCAAATTTGGCGTATGGGTTGCAAATTTGGCTTTCTGGGCAGCGTTGTTCACTTGTTTGGCACCGTCCTGTAAATCGGCAATTACAGCACGGTGTTCAAGAATGGGATTCCCTATGCTGGTACTGAACACCATAGGGTAGGAATACGCTCTAAGTCTCCTCACTTTGCATTCAACCCCTCATTGTATTGCCGGTCCCTTGTATCTGTTCGACTGCCCTCTGCAACAGGCTGAGATTCAACATTACACTGGAAGAGCGTCCATGGTTAGTCAGCTCATAACCAAGTACTGAGTTGATGTAATTATTGTGTTGGTTCGAAGTTGTAGGTACCGAAAATGCTAAATAGTTCCTCTGAAGGTGACTTCATTGGTACATTTTGTATAGTTTTCCCCAAAGGAGCGCGGATGATTTTTAAAATGCCATAGTGGGATGTTATGTTAACCAATCTACTTTAGAATCATTAACAATAATTAGCACAATAAGATATGCTTCCGTGCTTCCCAAGTCTCTTCAGAGTCATCCTTCAAGGGCCTAACTCGATCATCGAATTTGGTTGTAGCGAGAATAATTTGTGCCAGCGTGGCTCATTACGTGGCCGAATTTTGTCGTGGACCACGTCGTTCCTCCTAAAATTTCGTCAGTCCGGGACAGATCTTCAGAAATTTGAGGTGTTTGCTGCTGCTGGAGATGTCTTGTCCAGCAGTGTAGTTACGGCAAATCGGGATGGAGATTGAAAATCTTCCCACACGTGCTGAAAGCAAGGGTCAAAAGGACGTAATTACAATTGAAATTCGCTAAACATTTCAGTTGTCAACGTTGTTTGCATGACTTAGAAAGGAAACGTTTCACTGTTTTTTTGGGGAGAACCTTCAAAACGCTACGCGTTCTGAGATTCCCACGTACCCAGACTCCAATCAGAACGCTTCATAAGTACGCCCTAGAGAAAAGCTCCTGGCCAAACCAAGCCTGCTCTATTGTGATGTTTGGTTGAGGCATGGTCTGGTCTGGAGGAAATCTGGAACTCTGGGAATCTGACTGAATGCCAGGAGAAGACTCCATTTCCTGTTCCATATCGTTCCCCATTTGGCTCTCAGCATCTCGTCGATTCACACAAGGATAAGCCTTTCTTCTCCTAACAGCGAAAGCTGCCACTTTTCCACTCCTCCCGCTCTTCCCAACCTCCTTCGTCTAGTCATGGAGACCTTCTGCCTCGCTCGACCAGCCCTTGTGGTGGCTCCCCGCACCGTCCGCACCATCCGCACCCTCCCGGTGCGGTCACAGGCGAGAGTAGTCTGCGCCATTAAGTTCCCCGGATTCGGCTTCAATGGCAAGAACGAGAGTGAAGACAACGAAACCTACGCCGGAGCCGACTCTGCCACGACGTGAGTTTTTCCAGAATCTCATATATTTTTCTGTCCGTGCTTATCGTTGCTGCATTTAATTCTCCGATCCTGCTGTACGAGCTGCACGGCATGCTTGTTTTTGGGAATTTAATTACTCATGGCCCGCTCGCCATCCTGTACCGTTGACCATTTCCAGTGTGTTCCCAGCGGAGGCGTGCGACGAGCTGGGAGGCGAGTTCTGCAACGCCGAGGGCGTGTTCGCCGAGGTGAAGCTGGAGTCGAAACCCGAGCCCGTCAAGCAAGTCGTCGGGAAAGACGTCGGCACCGTGGACTACGACGGCCCTAAGACGTACGTTCGGAGTTGCGATATATTCCGCATTCAACCTTACTTGATATTTACGACAGTGCGATTTAACGTCATGAAGTCTGTCGACTATGACGGTCCTAAGATCGTCCGTCTGAATCTGCAGCATTTTTCGCATTCAGTCTTGTTCTTAAATCCGGGGAATATACTCGCCACAGAAAAACAGGGTGAAGAAACCAGACATCTGCTTTTATTCTTCATCGTGTGAGGAGATAAACATCTACATATTCATGGTTCTGGCACTGTAGCTTTAAATCTGACCAGACATTGCGAGTAGTGTCGGCTTACTCGTGATTTCTGACTGGGCTTCTTTCTTCTTCGCGCGTTTCTGTCCATGCAGCGTCTTCCCCGGCGAGGCATGCGACGAGCTAGGAGGAGAGTTCTGCGAGCCGGATTACCAGGAGGGCGTGGGTCCCGAGAAGAAGCTCTGAACGCGAAATAATCCGTTCACTGGTTTGTACACGAAGCATTATTTATCAATCATTTTCATGTTTAACGGCGTTTTTCTTTGTGCTAGGAGGCCTTAGTGAGATTGTAAGTACCTGTGGTCATATGGAGCTGTTATTTCCAACCAACAGGGCGTTCAGGAAACACCAGGGACAGATAGTTCGAGCCTGCCCCTCTTGTGGACTGATGTCGAACCGACCAGTTCTTCAGTGTCACACTCCGAACCCCTCACTCCTTCCTGCTCGCCCCTCTCCCCACCATTCATCCCTCCCACTTCTCTGTGTCGTTGAACTCCTCTTTTCCCAACTACCCTCTTCCTCTCCCATCTCCGCCTAAGCCTAGGTGTTCCGTTCCGTCCTCCCGCAGCCTTGCTCTGTCTTCCCCTTCCGCCGCACTTCCGTCCATCCAATCCAACCTGCCTTCTCGCCTCGACTTCTCCCTTCCAAGACGAACCTTCGATTCCCCATCACTTCCGCAACGAGTGAGATGCATGCACATTCAGTTTTTTTATGGGGGACCGTAGAGCCTGCTACCGTGAGGTCAGCTAAGCCCCTCCCACCAAGTTCGGCCCAAATAACACGATGTTTCCAATGCACCTGAAACTGGGGCTGTCTCAGGACGTAAAAAGGAGAAATTATTAGTGCTAACTTGAAATGAACTCGAAATGAAAATATTAGGCTGCGGATTTTGTTCCACGTTTGTTGGAGGACTTCCAGGGCTCAACCTGAGCCTCTTGGTATGAGTAAGGAGGATTCCAATGCCCCTTATGTGCTACAGTATACTATCAAACATTTTTGTACATATTATAATAGGCCAGATAGGTGCATGCTCTTAGAGGGTACAACACTCACACAAAATTAACATGTATCGATTTGTCACATTCTTGTCAAGGTTCTACTCAGAGTTGGGATCACGCGCTAGGTTAGGTCCTCCTCTCCCCGCACGTCCGCTCTCGCCCTAGCCCTAGCCACCCGCCCCTAGCCACCCCTTAGCGCCCTGTCGACTCTGTGCGCCCCACAAGTCCTGTTCGCCCTTAGACTCGTTAGCGCCCCGTCGGGCCCGTTCGCCCTCACGACCCTGTTAGCGCCCCGTCGGCCCCATGCGCCCTCACGGCCCCGTTACCGCCCCGACGGCCCTGTGCACCCTCCCGGCCCCGTTAGCGCCCCGTCGACCCCGTGCGCCCCACTGGCCCTGCTCGCCCCGCCGGCCCATTCGCGCCCTCACGGCCCCGTTAGCACCCCATCGGCCTCGTGCGCCCCTCTGGCCCCACTCGCCCCACCGGCCTGTTAGTGCCCTTCCGGCCCGTTAGCGCCCTCCCAGCTCCGTTAGCGCCCTCCCATCTCCGTTAGCGCCCCGTTGGCCCGTTAGCCCCGTGCGCCCCTCTGGCCTTGCGCCCTACCGGCCCGTTAGCGCCCCGCCGGCTCGTTAGCGCCCCGCCGGCCCGTTAGCGCCTTGTTGGCCCCTTGCGCCCCCTCTAGCCCCACTTGCCCCGTCGGCCCCTTAGCGCCCCGCCGGCCCGCTCGCGCCCTCCCGGCCCCGCTCGCGCCCTCCCGACCCGTCGGCCCTGTGCGCCCTTAGCGCCCCGTCGGCCCCGTGCGCCCCGCCGGCCTGTTCGCGCCCTACCGGCCCTGCCTGCGCCCCGTCGGCCCTCGTCAACCAGTCAACTTGCCAGCCGCCCAGCCAGCCGGCTCCAGCCTCGCCGGCCCCCCGCTTCAGCCGCCGCCCGCCGGACCGTTGAGCCCCAGCGCCGACCCATCGGCTCTGGCTCCCTTCAGCGCCAGCCTCCCTGCCGGCTGTCTCCACCGCTCTCCACCGCTCTCCACCGCCCTCCACCAGCACTCCACCGCACTCCACCACACCCCACCATACTCCACTACACTACACCACACTCCATCATCTTTCCCGCTTCCTCCACATGTCCTCCTCACTCTGTCAGCGGCCATTAGCAGCTGCACAAGTGGCGATGGCGGAGTTACAGCTCCGTCTGGACGCTGAGGGTCGGGCGCTCGACTTTGAGGCGTGGCTCGTCGACCTTTGGCGTCACCTTACAGGTCAGTGCCAGGACGGTCACTCTCTGGCTGTTCATGTCGATGGCCTGCTTCCCCGCCCCCTGCCCCTGCTGCCCTCCCTGATGCCCCCCCGACTGCTGAGCGTGAGGCCTTTTTTCGCTGCTACACTTAATTGTGCCATCTGGGACTCGCACGACGTTGTCGCCCAGCTTGCCATCAGCCGTGCGCTCCCGCAGTCTGAGCGTCCTTGCTTTACCACTGTAGGGAACACCCAGGACTTCTTAGATGTTGTCATTCCGCACTATTCCACCTCCGCTACTGCCTCTGCTGGTCGCCTGATCCTTCCCATACTGTTCCCTGATCTTGCGTCCTTCCCCACTGTAGCCGACTTTGCCACGCACTTCCGAGTGCTTGAGACGAGCTACCGCGCTGCTAGCACTAAGGCACAGCTCACTGCCTTCCCGTCGCCATTCTACGCTATCCTTTTATCTCATCGCCACACGCCTCCCTGATCGCCTAGCCACAGCCCACGACCACTTCCTTAGTCAGCACTTGGGTGACCTCACTCTCACCGCCTTTGTCACTGTCCTGTCTGAGATAGAGACCCGCCAGCGCAGTATCGCTCAGTCTAGCGGTACTGCAGCGGTGCCTATCTTTCAGGGCTGTGCTCCCTTCCACTGCACTTACTCTGACGTCTCTGCTGCTGTTGCTGAGACCGCTGCTGCGGCCTCAGCGCAGAAGCATCCGATTAAGGGTCGCCGACCCAAAAGGGGGCGCGGTGGAGGGAAGGGGGTGGCGGTGGGGAGGGTGGCGGCGGTGAGTCTGGGGATGGTGGTCCAGACGAGGAGACCGGGGCTGGTGCCCCGGAGCAGCCGCAGCCTCAACAGCAGCAGCAGCAAACTCAGCAGCCGCAGCAGCCGCCGCCGTCGGCGCAGCAGCAGCAGTCACCATGGGGACCGTCGCCGCCGTGGTGGACTGGCGACGCTAGCGGCGGTGGTCGTGGGTGGGGCGGGCGTAGCTCGGTGTCGGGTGGCAGCTCCGGCCTATTTACGCTTGACACTGCATCCCCCCTGGTGAGGGCGTCCCCCCAGGTAGCCACGGCTTGCTCGTGTCTGTCGCTCACTCACCCGTCGCTGCTGTGGCACCATCTCGTAGGTCACCATGCACTCCCACGTCTACACCACATCTCCCAGCACGGTCTTGTCATAGGTCTTCCTGCGTCGCTCCCTTCCCTCCCTCCCTCGCATGCGTTGCCGTGCACGCCTTGCGTCGAGGGCCAGTTGCGCTGTGCTCCTTACTCCTCCTCGCTTCGCCCTGCCACCACGCCACTCTAGACCCTGCACCTGGACGTTTGGGGTCCAGCCCCTGTCCCTCGGCCGCGTCGAGAGTGCTACTTTTTGGTGCTTGACGACGACTACATGCGCTACACTATGGTGTTTCGTCTGGAGTAGAAGGCCGACGTGCTGAACCTGGTATTTTGCATTCTTGTAGGCTGCTTCCCTGCTGAATACTATGTACAATCAAACAATGCGAAAACTATTAACATTAGTTGGTGATGCTATGTACATTCCCCACAAGACTTAACAGAGGTGTCAGAACACACTTTGATGGAGCCATCTTTCTTGAATCCTACCATGGAGGGAAATAATGGATGAGAAGTAGGATAGCACTTTTGCACACCGGTAGATGCTACGGTACAGTAAATCCGCTCTGACATGGCACGACGCGCGAAGCGTTGATTTCGCATTTCCCAGGCAGTTCACCCGACCTGGAGAACTGATCCCCTAAAGGGCAGTTCCTCCAACCTCCAACTCCTCGAGCCTTTCCCCTCACCCTTGTTTTTGCAGAGCTGCATCACTGTCAGGAAGGCCTGGCTCGCAGGAGGAAAGACCTGATGGAGCTTCTGGAGGTTGAGCTCCGTTGCCATGATAAGCGCCACTCAGTTGTTATGCTTCCGGTGTATCTGAGGTAGCCGACCAAAGTCACATGCACGCTCGTCGCTTGCTAAGGGATTCTATCCAGACCAAGCTCGCAGTTTAGGTTTCGGTTCTCGAGTTTCGGCCAATATGCTGGTCAGGACGTACCAACGGAAGCGCAGAGGGGTACCGAGCGGTTCGGATGACTCCTTCGCCGATTCAGCGTCGCAGGATTCGCAAACGTTTTTCTCGTCCCAGTCGCAGGATTTCCAAGCAAACGGCCTTACATCGTCGCAGGTACGATATTGTCCGCTTAGGACAGAGTTGCGACCACGAGTTGCGACCAAACTTATGTTTCGCAGCTGTGATAATTTCCTGGTGCCTCAGCCGCCCTCGTCTGATCACATCTCTTCCGCATTCGTGACTGGCTGTCTCTCCCGATTCACGCTCGTCCTCGTTTCGTTCTGCAGAATTCAGATTGGTCGCTGGTCGGCAGCGATGATCCCGAGGCCATGCTGCACCGTCCAGGTTCTTCCCACCGCAACGCCAACCCTCCTGGTGGACTCTTTTCACCGGATTCCGAGCCTCTCCATCACGCCTGTTCCGAACCTGATGCTATTTGCGGGTTTCTTTCCCAACCGACTCGTTCCAGCCTCCCACCCCCCGGCCCCTCGCGCACTAGAGCCGAAAACAACCGAGCAGAACCGCGCCGACGATCAGCTGCGAGCTGGAGAAGCCACGTGGACGGTGGAGATGGATCCAGCTTCCTGAACCACGTCAGGATGAAGAAGGGCGGCAAACGGACCCAGAGCCAGGGGAGGAAGCAAGGCAGGGGCGTCAAGACAAAGGGTGAATCACAAGAGGCGGAGGTGGAACCCCTAGAACGGCGCAGGTGTGGCAATGGGAGGCGTGAGCACGAGAGCCAGCACGAGAGTGATGCGGAGGAGGAGGAACTGAGGGAGCTAGCAGCGCTCTTCAAGTCCCCTGTCCACCGCAACACGTTCTCCACACAGAAACAGAGCACCGCATTCATGCCTCCTGCTGGAATGGCAGCCACTGCAGCCATAGCAGCGGCCACAGCAGCAGCAGCAGCAGCAGCAGCAACAGCGACGGCGGCGGCCGCTACTGCTGCTGCTGTCCCAGCAACATCACCATTTGCCTCCAGGGAAACCCTAATGGAATCACAGGAGCTGTACTCCCAAGACTCATATTCCCAGGAGGCCGGTTACCAGGAGGACCGTTTCCAGGGCCCTCGCAGCACGACCCTGATGGAGGCGCAGGAGTCCGGCGAGATGATGGCGAGCCTGGATGAGGCCATGTTCGCGCTAGACGGGCTCAAGCTGCGGCAGCCAATTAGGGTGCAGCGCTCGGCCGCCACGTCACTGGCGTCCATCTGCTCTGCTGTGGACCGCCGCCGCCTGCTACGCTCGCAGGGGTAGGTGAGGCGCACCGCGCACGGGTATTTTCGTTGTCGGCGTGAATGGCTCGTAGGGGTCGGCCTTACAGGTGACTTTTTTGCAGAGTTTCTGGGAAAGGATGGTCTGAGTAATCGATTGTTAGACTAACAACACACTTGTCCCTCTGTCTATCTCTGTCTGTTTCTCCCCTCACAGGCTAGTAAAGCAGATCATGAACGCTCTTCTGCTGCTCCCACTAGCGGATCGCCCCCTCGCACTCGCTGCAGCAGCTATCTTCTTCTTCATCGCCTCTGATGTGAGTAGCCATGCGCACTTCGTTCTCTGCCCGGGGCTTTGGTGTTAGCTGCAAAGGCTTCACTGCACCTGTGTTTCTGCTCTACTCCTTCCCCCACCAGTATAAAATGTTTCTGGGCCCTTGCTTATTTTCTTGTTCTTTCTTTCTTTCTTTCTTTCTTTCTTTCTTTCTTTCTTTCTTTCTTCGTCTTCGTTAGTTCTCTTTCCAAATTGGACACAATAGCTGATCCCCTCAGCTTCCGCAACTTCTTTGTTCTGTTCTTTGTCTCTGGCATTTCCATATGCTTTTTACAACCACCCTCTCTTTTCCAAACTATCCTTTTTCGCACTGAAACCCCTTTGACCCAGGACGCTGAGAGTGACTTCCCAGACCCCTCCCACGCGCTCAGCTTCCTCCTCGCTCTCCTCAAGCACCACAGCGCCCCTCCATCTCCTCATGCCGCCTCAGACAACCCCTCAACTGCCTCTGCTACTCGTAGCCTCCCTGTGTCAACCCAGGCAATCTTATCACGGAGAGACTGCCCTCTCAAGGGGGCGGAAGGGCGAGAGGCAGAAGCAGCAGCAGCGGCAGAGTTGAAGGTCAGGAAGCTGTTTCCCAGTGGGCGGTGTTGCGGGGGGGGAGGAGGAGGAGGGGGAGGACGAGGAGCAGGTGGGAGAGAAGGGGTGTGGTGCTGCTTGTGCTGCTGGTGCTGCTGCTGGTGTTGGTGGTGCTTCAGATGTGACAGTTGTCGCGCTGGTGCTGGCCACGTTGAAGAGGATTTGCGCGTCTGTGATTGCCCTCCAAGGTCTCTCCACTGCCTGTTGTACTTGATGATACTGCAATGTCGTCCTTGCCTTTCTCGTCCTTGCTTTGCCAGTGCTTCCTGTGCATTGCTTTGTGGTGCTCTGCTGTGCTGTGCTGTGCTGTGCTGTGCTGTGCTGTGCGGTGCTGTGCTGTGCTGAAGACTGCAGTGCCACCATCACATTGCTTCGTAGCAACTAACTTGCTCTCCCCTTCCTTTCGCATTGCACGCGGATCCAGCAGCAGCCATCCAGCAGACAGCTTCTAATCCCCCTCTGCTGCCATGGTGCCTCAAGGGGCTGGGCGGTTACAGCTCATGCGCGTTGTTCGCTTGTCACGCCTCCATGTCTTCTCACTCAACTCAAAGGCCGCCCCAGCTTCCCCCCTTCGTTCTCGTCCCTCCCTCCCCAGCAGCTGGCCTGCCAGACGACAGCAGCCTGCCTTTCTCCTCTGGCGGGGCGGGCCGGTCGCAGCTCATGCGCTATTATTTGCGTGTTGCACCTTCACGCTCGTCCCTCTCAATTCAAAGGCCGTCCAGCTTCTCCCCTTGCTTCTTGTCGCTCCCTCCCCCAGCAGCCGGCCTGCCAGACGACAGCAGCCTTCCCTTCTCTGCCGGGGCCGGGCGGTCGCAGCTCATGCGCTTCGGGCTCAAGGACGAAATGCGCCGCCTGGGAGGGCTGCACCTCGTGGCGGCCTTAGCTGGCAGCCACATGGTTCAGTTGGCAAAGTATACACACGAGGTGAGGGATGGGAAGGGCTGCCTGGGGGGGCTGCACCTGGTGGCGGCCTTGGCTGCAGGCCACATGGCGCAGTTTGCACACGAGGTGAGGGATGGAAAGGTGGCCTCTGGATCAGATTAGAAGGGCTGCCTGGGGGGGACTGCACCTGGTGGCGGTTCTACCTGCCATATGCTGCAATTGGCGCGATTCATATTCAGTCACGGCTCCTTCAAAGGGAAGGGAGAGCTGTAAGGCAGGGAAATGAATGCCGTTGGATTAAATCTAGGATGGAGGCAAGAAATAACACTTTTTCATTCTCAACTAGTTTGCTGTTTCCCAGCCGTATGCAGACAGGCTGGAAGGAACGGGAGCAGGGAGAAGCAGAAGCGGATTGAAGGTGCTGAGCGAGGAGAACCCGTCTGGGCACAAGAGGCGCCCCTTGCAGCAGCGCAAACAGGCAGCTACTAGCACCGACGGGGCGGCTGTTGATGGCATGGCGCAGGGCACAGCCTGCAGTGGAGCCAGCAGCGTTGATGTGGCGACGAGCTGTCTTGGGGTGTTGGAGCATGTGACGTTCATGAGCCGCGATAACCAGGTGCGTTGCACTCCCATGCGGATGTTCCCTCCAGGGCTCAAGCCCCATGGCCTGGCCCATGCGCCATGAGAAGGCCATCAGTGGTGAGGCGGCAACGCTGCCTTGAGGGGCTAGAGTATGTGCCGTTCATGGAGTATGTGCCGTTCATGGAGTATGTGTCGTTCATGGAGTATGTGCCGTTCATGGAGTCTGTGTCGTTCATGGAGTATGTGCCGTTCATGGAGTATGTGTCGTTCATGGAGTATGTGTTGTTCATGGAGTATGTGTCGTACATGGAGTATGTGCCGTTCATGGAGTATGTGCCGTTCATGGAGTATGTGTCGTTCATGGAGTATGTGCCGTTCATGGAGTATGTGTCGTTCATGGAGTATGTGCCGTTCATGGAGTATGTGTCGTTCATGGAGTATGTGTCGTTCATGGAGTATGTGTCGTTCATGGAGTATGTGCCGTTCATGGAGTATGTGCCGTTCATGGAGTATGTGTCGTTCATGGAGTATGTGCCGTTCATGGAGTATGTGCTGTTCATGGAGTATATGCCGTTCATGGAGTATGTGCCGTTCATGGAGTGTGTGCCGTTCATGGAGTATGTGCCGTTCATGGAGTATGTGCCGTTCATGGAGTATGTGCCGTTCATGGAGTATGTGCCGTTCATGGAGTATGTGCCGTTCATGGACCGCGATAACCATCAGGCCCCGTGGAACACCTCCCCGTGGCCCATGCCATCTTGCTTAGGCCTGCTCAATGCCTCCTTCCTCTTCTTGTCATGTGCCTGCCAGGGTCCGTTTGCCTTTGCTCCTTCCTGGCTTTTGAGTGTCAAGGAGAATCGCTTGCATAAGCTTGCAGATAACACCCCTTCTCCCGCCTCTCGACCACTCTCCATATCTCCTCCCCAGGACTATCTCATCCGCCTCTCTTTGCCCGATGAGTCCCTGACTGGAGCGAAGAGGAGAAAGCTGTCTGCCGGTCACAGCACCTCTCCTGCCATGCCGCTCATTGCCACAGCAGCCTCATGCGGGGCTGTGGGTGAGGGGGGCAGGGACTGTGGCAATGGCGACGCAAGAAATTGTTGCGAGAGCAGCGGTGGAAGGTCGTTTCTTGCCCTCCTGTTGGAGTGCCTCCAAGGGCTCTCAGGTAAGCACTCTCAACAGAAGCAGGGGCTCTGTGGGAGGGGAAGGGGAGTCAAAGGGAGTAGGGAGTGCAGCGGTAGCAGCAGCGGAAGGTCGTTTCTTGCTCCTGTTGGAGTGCCTTCAAGGGCTCTCACTCACGTACGCTTATGCACTCAACAGAGCCCAACGTTTCTCGTCCTTTGCTAAGACGGCGTCTTTTGTTCTTGTTTTCCGTCATCTTGTCCTTGGTAAGTCGTCTTCATGTTTACCCTCCATACACTTCGCGTGTCTTCGCGACCCTTCAGGTGGTGGGAGCGCTCAGAGCTCTCGAGCCGCGGAGAACATTGGCGCGTCAGGAGAAGACTCCGAAGGGGAAAAGAGAGGGGGGCTGGGAGGTGGCGATGGGCGCATGGTGATGCTGGGCGACGCTGTGCGTTTAGACCTGGAGGATGGGGTGGAGAGCGGGGAGGAGAGTGGAAAGGAGGAGGGGGGTGGCAGAGGACAAGGAGGGAGGAGAGCGTGTGGGTTGGCTGCAAGAGGGAGGTCTAGCGGCGTGGAAGCTATGAGAGAGCCGGGTGAGGAGGGAAACGACGCCCTAGGCAGTGGTGTGAACCAGCGAGGTTATGGTGGGGTGACAAGGAAGGGGAAGGGTGACTGTGCCGTGTCAGTAGGGCGAGGGGGAGGAGAGATGGCAGATAAGGGGCGAGGGGGCGTGAAGGCAGGTACAAAGACGAGGGAAACAGCAGACCCGTTCTCGTTTGACCCGTGGGAAGAGGAGAGCGGAGGGAGGAACGCAGGGAGGGCGGGTGCAGGGAGGGCGGGTGCAGGGAGGGCGGGTGCAGGGAGGAGAACAGCAGGGGATAGGGGACAGCGGGGACAGGCGTCTCGAAGATTGGTAATGCTGGGTGAGGATGTGGCGGAGGAGGAGGGACGACGCTTGGGACATGGCAAGGCTGGCGCTTGTTCTCGGAACGCTGGCGCCATTGTGCTGCTGGGTGAGGATGCTGGGGAGGAGGAGGAGGAGGAAGATGAAGTGTTGCGAGATTTCAAGGCTTGTACCGGTGCTGCCGCTGTTGTTCTGGGAGAGGATGTGGGGGAGGCAGAGGAGGAGGAGGAGGAGGAGGAGGAGGAGGAGGAGGAGGAGGTGGAGGAGGAGGAGGCGTTGAGAATTTGTAAGGCGTGTGACGGCGCTGGCCCTGTTGTACTGGGAGATGCAGTGGGGGAGGAGGAGCAGGAAGGCTGTGGTGTGGGTGAGAAGGAGAGAGAGTGTGGGGCGAGAGCAGAGAGAGAGCAGGGCCGGGGAGGGAAGGGGCGAAGCGAAAAGGTGGAGGAGGATCCGTACGAGTTTCTGATGGACTCGCAGGTGGAAGAGGAGCTGCTGGTGGGGGAGGACTGGGGGGGGCTTGCGGGAGGGGAGGGATGTGGGGAGATGTTAAGGAATGGCTTGTGTGGGTCAGGCGTTAGGCTGGGAGAGGACGTGGGGGGAGAGGGTAGTGGGAGTGAGGGTGAGTGCAGGGAGCAGTGCAGGCTGAGATGCGGGGGGGTGCATGATGGGAGGTTGCATAATGGAAGGCTACGAAATGGGAAGAGCAAGGAGCAGCTGAAGCACAAGGAGAGCCGAAACAGTTCCTTTACTGCGAGTGGTTGTAACAAGCGTGATAACACTGGGGGAGACGGTGCTGGTGATGGCGATGGCAGGCTGTCAGTGCGGTCAAAGCAGGGCCGCCGGTTCGTCCTGGCAGCATGCAAGGTGCTCATGAACCTCACCAACCACAGTGCGGAGGGGTGCAGAGCGGTGGCAGGGGCGGATGGCATCGCGGTGGTAGCCTCCCTCGCTGCTGCCTGCTGCTCGGACCAGTGCTGGCAGCAGGCTTTGACTGCTGGGTCTCTGGGTGAATCTGGTAGCGAGCAGCAGCAGCAGCAGCAGCAGCAGCAGCAGCAGCAGCAGCAGCAGCAGCAGCAGCAGCAGCAGCAGAAGGCAACAACCGTGGAAGCAACTTCAGAGTTGATTCAAGGGTCAACTTTTGGTGATGGTTCGGCGGCTGAAGCTGGAAATGGTGACAGGTGGAACGGAAGAGCGGAGCGCAATGGGAGTGACTCGCCAGCTGCTTTTGGTGTGAGGTGCAAGGAGGGTGGAAGAGAGGGGAGAGGGGGGGGAGGTGAGGCGGAAATGGATGACAAGTCTGGAAGGGATGGTCAGGGGGGAGGGAGGCGATGGGAGGGCGATGCTGACGTGCTCGTGGTGCTACTGGGGCTCATAGTCAACCTGGTGGAGGCTGATCACACCAGGTACGGCTGATCCACGTGACTGGCTGATGCTGATGGGGGTAAGTGCAATACCTGGTACATCTTTGAATGTCCACGTGCTCGTGGTGCTGCTGGGGCTCATAGTCAACCTGGTGGAGGCTGATAGTGACACCAGGTACGGCTGATCCACGTGACTGGCTGATGCTGATGGGGGTAAGTGCAATACCTGGTACATCTTTGAATGTCCACGTGCTCGTGGTGCTGCTGGGGCTCATAGTCAACCTGGTGGAGGCTGATAGTGACACCAGGTACGGCTGATCCACGTGACTGGCTGATGCTGATGGGGGTAAGTGCAATACCTGGTACATCTTTGAATGTCCACGTGCTCGTGGTGCTGCTGGGGCTCATAGTCAACCTGGTGGAGGCTGATAGTGACACTAGGTACGGGCTGATGCGTATATTGGTGGGTGCAATAGCGAGTACATCTGGTAACGCCATCTGCTGTGTGCTCGTGGTGCTGATGGGACTGTTAGTCAGTAACGTGGAGGCTAGCCAATCGTGTGGTGGCTGATGCGGACACCAGGTATGCTGGGAGATTTTACAGGTGGCTGATGGCCAATGTGATACATTGATGCTTATGTTGGCCACTGCAATAGCGCGCGCAGCTCCGTGCTCCTTATATGTGCATGTGCTGGTGGTGCTGCTGGGCCTTATAGACAATCTGGTGGAGGCTCATGATGGCACCAGGTAGGGATGGGCGCCAATGCTGAAATCGGTAAGTGCAATGGTGGTCACAGATTTGAAGCTTTCTTTTTGCATGTGCATCTGCGTGGGCCTGTGGTGCGTCTGTTTTCATGGTCCATTCTGTGAAAGCTGGTGGCGGCACCTGGGAGGGCTCATGCTGCTCATGGCAACTTTTGAGTCGACTGAAAAGGCAAGCACGTGGAGGGGGGAGGGTGCAGATCTGAGCTCCCCTGCTCCTTGCGTGCTCATCTGCTTGTGCTTGTGCCTGGCATCTCATGTGGACTGGTGCAGGGTACATCTCATCTCCTGTACTTGTGTGTTTCTGTGTATGCAATGCACCCAAACCTTTCTCTAGATCGCTTCTGGCAGAAGTCACGTGCACGAGGCCTACGCAAGGGTGGCAGAAATCCAAGCAGCACAAGCCCCATGAACCCAGCACCCGACAACTGAAGCACCATCAGCAGAGGGCGGCAAAGCCAGGGGAGAGAGTGCCAATGGTGTCGCTTCTGTGTGCCATCTTCGCTTCACGGCAAAACGCTCACGTTTTGCGAAATGACGGCAAGAAAGAACAAGAGTTCGACAACAAGTGTCGGATCTCTGAGCCCTCTAGCCACAGGGGCTTGGGCAGTGGCGTGGGAGAGGCAGAGGCGATTGCTGGGGAGGGGGGCGCAGGGGAGCGTGGTAAGGGGAGGAATGGAGGGGAACGCGCCGGAATGACGAGGGGGAGTGCGGGTGGGGAGGAGATGGGGATGGCGGAGGAGAGGCGCCGGGTGGAGAGAGAAGTGGAGGAGCTTCAGAGGAGTGTGATGGGGGAGGGGGAGGTGATGGGTAGGGCGGAGATGATACAGGGAGGTTTGAAGGGGGGATTGTTGGGTGAAGGGGAGAGAGGGGGGAAGGAGGTGGGGGAGGGCGAGATGCTGGTGTCAATGATGGTGGAGGGGACGGTGGAGGCAGAGCAGATGATTATGGAGTCGCATGCTGCTCTGCTGCTGGGGCTACTGGCACAGCACAGGTGCGCCTTCCCTGATCACAGGTGTGTCAAGTTGCTGCCAACGCAGGTGTGATGGCATGCGGGCAGCTCAGGTGTGCGGATGATGGTGGAGGGGACAGTGGAAACACATGCTGCCCTGCTCTGCTGCTGGGGCTACTGGCACAGCACAGGTGAGATGGCAGGTGGCATGTCGCTGTGGTGCTACCACCAAACCTTCTCACTCCAACTGCCGCCACCTGCCATTTTCGTGAGGCGCCTAAAAAACGTCCCCCCCTGTCCCCCCTCCCCCCTCCTTCCCCCCTCCCCCCAGCGAGTCTGCCTGCCAGTCCATCTGCCGCCAGCTGCCCGGCTCCTCCCTGCAGCCGCTGGCGCCAGTCCTGCAGCAATTCATGGTGGGCGCATGTCGATGTAGACTTACTGTCTCAGACTTACTCTCTTCACCTTACTTTCTTAGAGTACTGTCTTGGTCTCAATTTTGTTGTCCCAGTTCCGTGGCTTGCGCAAGTGAAGCATACCCGAACTTTCTGCGGGTGTGCCTCTCTTCGCGCATAGACAAGCCTCTGTCTCTTGGAAAGCAAGCTCCTCTCTACGTGCATTTTTAGATGCTTACGCTTGCACGCTTCACGCTTGTCGTCTTACCCTTGGTCGTTAGATGAGGAGGTTACAGTCTCCCTCTCCCTCTTCTCTGAAAGCATGTTCCTGCTGATTTGGCCTCAACATTTTAATTCTTTTTGGCGTGATCTCAACGTTCCGGATCAATTTGCCATGCTGTTGCGATACCAATGCTCCTATAATCTCCCCTCTATCACCACTTCGACATGCCATGTACACCTCAGGCGTTTCATGACAGTGTGGGGGCGCTCACTAGCGAGTCACGGCAGTTGCTGCACCAAGTCATTGTCCTCTGTGCCTCTCATGGGCGGCAGCAGCAGCAGGGTGAGCTGTAGCAACAGCAGGGAGAGCTGTAGCAGGGTGGGCAGCAGTAACAATGTGGGCGTGACACCACGACAGTGCTTTCCAATCAGTCACCACAGGTTGGGCTGACGACGGGTTGGGCGGCAGAAGCGGTGTGGACTGGGTTAATATGCGCGGCAGAAGCAGTGGACTGTAGTAGTACGGGTGGCAAAAGCAGTGTGGGCGTGACAGTGTGTACAACAGCAGACTAGTCTGTAGCCGCAGGAATTAATGGTGGGGCTGACAACAGTTTGGGCGGCAGAAGCAGTGAGGTGGACATTTGGATGGGCAGGTGGGAAGCAGCATGGTGGGTTCAGCAGCAAGGTGGGGTCAGCAGCATAACATGATATAAGGGGAACATTAGCACTGACAGCAGCACGGACCAGCAGCAGAGCATTGCCACAGGGCAGAGCAACACATGGGAATGGAGCAGCTGAGCATTGCCACAGGGCAGAGCAACACATGGGAATGGAGCAGCTGAGCATTGCCACAGGGCAGAGCAACACATGGGAATGGAGCAGCTGAGCATTGCCACAGGGCAGAGCAACACATGGGAATGGAGCAGCTGAGCATTGCCACAGGGCAGAGCAACACATGGGAATGGAGCAGCTGAGCATTGCCACAGGGCAGAGCAACACATGGGAATGGAGCAGCTGAGCATTGCCACAGGGCAGAGCAACACATGGGAATGGAGCAGCTGAGCATTGCCGTGGGGAAAGCAGGTGGGGAAGGAAGGCAGCAAAACACACAGCGCAACTTGGGTTGGAAGGCAGCATGAGAGCTGGAAAACAGGCATGGAAAGGGTATGTTGGTGGCACTGTGTGGCTGATTTCGACAACTTCAGAGCCCTGGTCTTCCACTCCACATTGTGTACATCCAAGCTGGAACGGGCCACTGAATTGTAGGGGACATAGGTTGGTGCTAAGCTTGCACATTCTACCAGCAACGTTATCAGTGTCCCATACTTGTGAACAACAGGATTCTGCTAGTAGACACATCCATTCAGATCCTTATATACGCACTAATGAAGTCAATCACCTACCTGGTTCTCTTATTGCATACACAGCTTGAACCAACACTAAGACACACATCAGCAAAATATGCTGAACAAACCATGCATGAGCCATAAGCTAGTACACCAGTATGAGCTGCACCCCTGGCATGTTATTACCGGTACATGGACGTAACCACCAAGCTGAGCTGCACAACTCATTCATGAGCGAGGGGTGACACAGTCCTGAAGAGACGACACAAGCTCTCTCCTCCTCTCTGCAGGAACATCCCCCCTCATCTCCACAGCTGTTCCCTGCATGCTTGACTCCCCTCCACCACCACCACCACCACCACCCTGAGCCACCCTCCAGTACATGCAGGCCAGCTCAGTCACGTACTGGTCATACACCACAGTGGCATTGGCCCTCTTCTCCTTGATAGCTGGCCAGTCGAACCAGTCCATGGCGTACTGCCAGATCTGCCGCTGGGAATACTTGCTCACATCATCACACCCTGGGAGCTCCCCTGCAGGCACCGCGTGGCACACACCCTCGTGCGAGTAATACGCTGCCAGCTGGACGTACGTCTTGATGACACGTGGCGCATCGTCCCGGTGCTTTGTGGCGACACGGAACGGCTGCGAGTACGGAACGTGCACGCCGACACGAGGAATGGGCGTGTGATTGGTCCATTCCAGGGCCCAGTGCACCTCATCATGGGCGTACGCCCACATGTAATTCCCTATGGTCGTGTGGGCGATCTGGGTCTTCTCGAATTTGGGTCCGTGGACGGAGAACCACTCGAACGCCGAGTCGAAGCTCCCGCCCTTATCCTTGTGCAGATTCGCCACGTGGCTGCGGAACCGCGGCAGGACGCTCGTCGGCATGACGAAGGGCAGCTGAACCATGAAATTCGCGAAGTACTTGTCCTCGCCAACGAAGAACTGCGTGGAGGGTAACCAGTGGTTCATCTGCTTCTGCTTGCTGCCGATCACGTACGGCTTGCCGTCCGTCAGGTTGAACAGTAACCGGGGCGTTACTTTCATGTTGAAGATGACGTCATCGTCGATTAAAGCCACGTATGGTGCTGTTGTGTAGTTGTCAGCCCAAAGGTAGCTCCACTGCTGCAGGATCTTTCCTGGAAGCTTCAGGGGGTTATGCTCGTAGTAGACCTTGATCCACGTGGGTATGAGGTCCTCGGCCAATCGCTCGTCGCTGTCGAGGATGAGGATGACGTCACCGATGCCACGTGGCCACATCTGCTCGATGCTGGCGAAGAGCATCTCGAGCAAGAAGAAGGTGCTTGACACGTGGCTGCGGATTACGAGGTCCACGCGGCTGGGCCAAAGCGATCTGTCAGTAAGAGGCAGGAAGGAATTTCTGAGACTCGTGAGGGACCAGGGGGGGGGGGGGGTAGTAACTATCATGGCGGTTTTGCTGGAACGAAGCAAACCGACAACTGTGAGCGCAACAGAAGGGGAGAGATCCGAGAAGCTTCACGGCCGCAACGTCGTCCAGAGAGGCCTACCGATAAGCGTCGTCGTAGACGCTGAACAGCTCCGACAAACAGTGGCCCGTTCGCGTGCGTCGCTTGCAATCCCTCCCGCCTCCGCCGCGTGGCATGGGACTACTGCTCGTACTTCCGCCAACAGCCGCGAGCGCAGCGTCATTCGTTGAAGCATCGGGCCGATTATGCTCCGAAACGGCGACGCTGCTCCCCAAGCTCTGCAAAGATTCGTCTTCCGCCGTATCTGTAACAGGAACGGCCCAAGCTCGTGACGGCGCGTCAGTTCCTGCCGATGCGGTGTCGCCGTCTCCTTCTCGATTGTACTCGTCCGAACGGCTGCCGACGATCAATGCGGGGGAGTCGTCGCGTCGTTGCGTTGAAGACGCGAGGTCGTCGCGGTAATCGTACGGCGCCCCCAAGAGCTGTCGCAGACCCGTTGCGCCACGGACCTCTGGCGACGAAACGTTTGTGCGACTGCCGGATTGTCGCACGGCGGAGGCGAGAAGGACGAGCGAGAGCACCGTGGCGAGGGGAAGGAGACCGAAGAGGGCCTCCCGGCGAGAAATCACAAGAAAAGGCGCGTCTTTGACGCCGCCTTTGCTCCGAATCTCCCCTTCGAGTCGAAGTGACGAAGGGCCATCTGCAGCTCTGCTCCTGGGACTTCTACAACTGTCAGACCGAGCGGAGCTACTGGTACTACTGCTGGTGTTGCTACTAGTGGTCGTTGGGGTGGCAGAGCCGCTGCTGCCGTTGCTAGTGCTAGTAGTGCTGCTGGATCGCGAGACGGGTACCGATCGCGACGATGGCCCCGCGTCGGCCGCGGAAGATGTGTCCACGGAGATGGAGAGGTGGCAGGAACGGGGTGGCGCCGCCATGATGGCCGCACGTGCTTCGTAATTTCCAACTTAAGATCCTCGGGCTGCTCTCGTATTATCGAGAGCTCACGATGTCGTCGGCTCGAAAGTAATACCTCACTTACCGATGCGATTTCAGAAGGGCATAATTCTGCGTCACGAGGTGAAACACAGCCGGGTGACCGTCGCCCTTCTGGGATGTCAGCTAGACCAACTGGCCACGTTACTTGAGGCAACGATCTTGCAGGTTTTCAGATCCTGTCGGCGCCCCTGCTGGTGCGAGCCTCAGCACTTCCCGGCGCAGGATGGGGCGGGAGGCGAACGGAAACACCACACGTACATAATACTACACGCTGGTGGAGACACCAAGACAACATCATAAAAGTGGGACGAAACCTGACAGCTCGCAGCAGGTTAGGGCGCGTTTCCTGTAGTTCAGTTGGTAATGTGCAGGTCGTTTTCGTAAGGCAGGTTCGGATGTCAGGTTGACTACGACGCGCAGATACTTGTTTCGAGGTTTGCATAAACTCCCACACTGTAACATCACAGAGAAGCACATGTGCGCGCATCGCCAAATCGATTCACGCTGACAAAACCGAACCCCCAGCGATGCTACAATGTGGCATGCGACCGCGAAATTCATCTGGTGATGTTTGGGTTGGGAATCGGGCCACGCGCAGATTCGCAAACCATTTTACCCGATTTCGGGCATCAATCTCCAACTCCAGACTGCATGGCTTCTCGCATTCGATCATGGACTGTCGATCACAAGTGTTACGTTGGTCGATTTCCGTGATCGGAACGTGCCAATCTGATTTATGTCTGGTATACACAACCGTGGTAGAAAAGTGTTTCATTTTAATTACCGAGTAACCCTACACGAAGATCGCCAAACGATCGCCAAGTGATCTACGTGGAGCGCGACCTAATGTTCGACTCATCACCTGACAACGAACAGACTACCACGGTCAACCAGGTGATTCCCGGCGCATGGTTGAGGGGGGGAGGGGATTGCTCAAGAGAACGACAAGCCAGCACGTAGGGCTCTCCGTTGGCGGATTCAACGTCCACCTGCGTCGGTTGAGCTTGAAGTGTCACTGACGGGTCGCCCCGCCCCCTCTCGTCTCGAGAGGAAGGACGAGGAAAGCAAGCAGCAGAAGCGAGGGACGAGCAAGATTCTAGAAGCGAGTGAGTAGCGGTGGAGATCAGGGCTCTCGCCAAGCCTAGGGTATTACCCGTTAGCATACGGATTTGTCGAAGACAAATGGCCTTCATCAGGGCAAGGAAAAGCCCTAGAACTGCCAGGAACTCTTTCTCCCACATAATATGTCTCGGATGGTATGTAAGAGTTCAGAAAAATTCCCGCCAACATTTTCTCTTTTCGCTTAGCGGAGGCAGTTGGGGAAACTGTTAGGAAGGTTAGATGGGGTAATACGAGCAGATCTCCTACTACAAGTGCACTTCGTACGAAATCAAAGAAAAGTAACCCGTAATCTCAAGGAATCGCACGAAAAGTATTCCGTCAAGAAGACGGAATCAATAAAACATTACTACACAAAAGGGTAATTGCCCCTTTTAGCCAGAGCCCTCGTGAAGATGAGTGAGGTGAGATTGGGAACGAGATCAAGGGTTGCTCTGGGCTGCGTGGCTTGGATGTGTGGCTGTGTGGGCGGTGCGACCGAGGGTGCTGCATTGGTGCATTTGCTTGCATTGATGCGGTTATGGACGGTGCGCCGTGATGGGATGGGCGACTCCATTCACATTTCCAATCTCCTGATTTTTTCGCATTCTGTAATGTTCGTGAAAGCTCTAATGATTTCTCTCGCCATTATGGACCAAAAGTATCACATGAACTTAAAAATGTGCATGTACAAGAAAATATGACTAGGTGAGACAAAATTGAGGTTGAGATCAGGGCTGACGTTTCAAAAAAAGGCACTCTGAGCCAATCCCACCCAAAAAAAAAATAGTCTGAAGGGCCTTCAGCCGAAATTTTTGTAGTCTGAAATGTCAGGGTCCAGAACTCAGCGAGTCTGATTTTTTCAGGGTCCAGGACGTACAACCAGAATCACACACGGGAAACACCCCCACAGCGAGAAACATCCCTCCCTCCTACATTTCCCAAAAAATCGGCTAAGTTCCTTGCAGCATTAAAAATCCTCCCACAGCCCGCGCCCCCCCCAACCAGCAACCTTGTCCACCCTCGTTTTGCGTAGTTGTTAAATGTGGGAAACGGGGAAGTTATTCCTAAAAACCGAGGGGGTAAAATCGCACTGCCACGGAAATCGAAACTGAGGAGAGGGGGAATAGAAAATGACGGGGAAATGGGGGAGGGAATCAAAATGGAGGGGAGGGGGGAAGCGAACCGGAGGGGAGGGGGGGGAAGGGGGGGACGGTCGAAACGGAGAGGATGGGGGAAGCGAAACGGAGGGGAAGGGGGGAAGTGATCGAAACGGAGGGGAGGGGGGAAGCGAAAATGGAGGGGAAGGGGGGAATCGAAACGGCAGGGAGGGGGGAAGCTGGGGAATAGGAGGGTGGGAGAAATTTCGCGCCCTTGCAGCGCCCCGGTTGGGAAATCTTGGACGTTAATCGCTATATAACATCGAACGATTGATATACGTCGAAACGATCGCAAACG